CCACTTTCCAAGGCATGATGCAGAGCATTTTCAGTGATTTCATTGACAAGTTTCTGGTGGTTTTCATTGATGATTTGCTGGTTTACAGTCGCACTCGTGAGGAGCATCTAAAGCACCTTGAGCTGGTCCTTGCACGCCTGAGTGAGCACAGATTGTATGCCAAGCGTTCCAAGTGTGAGTTTGCAAAGACCAAGCTATCTTTCTTGGGTCATGTCATTTCACATGGGAAGCTGGAAGTAGACAACAGCAAGGTAGCAGTCCTGAAGGAGTGGAAGCAGCCGAGTACAGTGAAGGAGGTGCAGGCTTTCTTGGGGTTAGCTAACTACTACCGGCGGTTTGTGAAGGGATTTGCAGCAGTGGCAGCACCTCTGACCGATCTCTTGCGGAAGGACTCATCATTCAGTTGGGGATCATTGCAGCAGCAAGCTTTTGAGCAGCTCAAAACTTCTCTTATTTCACCCCCTGCCCTAGCAGTACCGAATCCAGAGCTCCCATACTTCATTTGGTGTGATGCATCAGACGTTGCCCTTGGAGCAATTCTCTGCCAGGAGCAGGAAGCTGGGCTGCAGCCAATAGCCTTTGAGTCACGAAAGCTCACTGCTGCAGAGCGCACATACCCCATTCACGAGAGAGAGGCACTTGCTGTGGTGCATGCACTGAAGAAGTGGCGCTGTTATGTGGAGATGCAGCCCGTTACAGTTTTCACTGATCACCGAACACTGGAGTACCTGAAAACACAGTCACAGATCACACCACGGCAGGCACGGTGGGTTCAGTTTTTGGAGCAGTACGTTCCCAATCTTCAGATTGTGTACAAACCAGGGCGCTTCAATCCGGCGGATGTTCTGTCACGGCCAGCAGCAGAGGAGCTGAATGTCATGGGAGTGGTTACATGGGACCGCAACTTCATCACTCGTTTCAGCCGTGGTTACAACCGTGATCAGCTGTACCAACAGAAAGCCCCCCATGACCCATCCTTTCTTTTCAGCAATCCCTTTTGGACCCGTGCAGATTCTGGTGCTGTGTGTGTACCTGATGACTCCAGGCTTCGCCAGCTGCTACTACACGAGTACCATGACAATCGGTCACACTTCAGCAGTGACAAGACGTATGCTGCCATTTCTCGTGACTACTACTGGCCTAGACTGTCCCGGAGTGTAGCAGAGTATGTTTCTTCATGTCCTACCTGTCAGGTCAACAAGGCTCGCACCACTGCACCGGCTGGTCTGCTGCAACCATTGGAGATACCCACAGCCCCCTGGACTTGTGTTTCTCTGGATTTTATCACAGACCTACCCCGCACCCCTACAGGCTTTGACAGCATTCTTGTGGTGATTGACAAGCTGTCCAAGATGGCTCACTTCATCCCTACAACCGGCACAGTGACTGCTGCTGAAACTGCCAAGCTGTTTTTCACGCATGTGGTGAGGCTACACGGACTGCCCTCAGCCATAATCAGTGACAGAGACACACGGTTCCTCAGCAACTTCTGGACCGCACTGTTTCAACTGTTGGGCACACAGATTCGACTCTCTACAGCCTACCACCCTGAAACTGACGGTCAGACAGAGCGCATGAACAGAACCTTGGAGGATGCGCTACGCTCGTGTGTGAATTCTATGCAAACTGACTGGGATCAGCACTTGGCAGCAGTGGAGTTTGCCTACAACAGCAGCCCCAACATTGCCACGGGAGAGCCACCGTTTCTTTTAGCTACTGGACAGCTACCACGCTCAATCACATCCCTCCCTCACCCTCTTCATTCCCCTAACCCCACAGCAGCAGATTTCATCTCTTCTCATCACCGCATTCTCCAACTTGCCCGAAGGAAGCTTCAGCTTGCACAAGAGCGCCAAGTTCGCTATGCCAACCAGCATAGGCGTCACACCACTTTCAGAGTTGGTGATTTGGTGCTGCTTTCAACGGCTAACCTGCCCCTGCTGAATGCTGGAACTTCTCGCAAGCTCGCACCCAGATTCGTTGGACCATTCCCCATCACCAAGGTTCTCTCATCGGTCAGCTACCGCCTTCAACTTCCTCCTCACATGACCATACACCCTGTTTTCCATGTTCACCTTCTTCGACCTTACCGTACTCCCTCTCACCCATTCCAGCCCCGTCCACCCATGTTCTCTGCCCATCCGGACCTGCATGAGGTCGAGACCATCCTCTCACACCGTGACACCCCGGTTGGCCGTGAATACCTCATTCACTGGCGCAACACATCTGCATCTGAAGATTCATGGGAGCCATTCTCCAACCTCAGCCATGCTCCTCGTGCCATTGGAGTGTATCTTGCCTCATTGGCACCGAGGACGGTGCCTTCAGGGAGGGGAGGTAATGTAACAAGTGGGGGCTGCACTAGAGGCAGCGTGAAGCGCACGGGAGGCGAAAGCATGCAGCAGCAGCGTGCAACTGCGAACGTGGGCAGCAAAGGGACGGAAGTGAGCAGGACGTGGGGGACCCACGTGAGAAGGGCGAAACTGAGGTTTCGTGCCTTGACTGACTTGGGGGGACTTCCGCGTGGGACAGGTGGCGAAAGTCCAGACTTGGAGGAATAGAAATGTAACACGTGTGTGGGTGCAGTGAGGTGTACAAACGTGAGTAGAAATATGGAATGCGGCTCTATGTTGGGGCTGGCCACCCGAATCGACATTCCGAGCCGCATGTCTGAATTGTAAATGTACTGTACATATAAAAATGCATTCGTAGGAATTAGAGAGTAGTTGCTGTTTCTCTTTCTGTTTGTTCTTCCTTGCTTCTAAGGAAATTCTCTTGGGGAAGAATTCTCAGCCAGAAACAACTTGAACAAGCCCAAGTGCCGTGAGCTTGTTCCAACTGGATTGTGACTCCCGACAACTGCCGCTGCTGCACAAGCTCTTTACTTGCAAGCACTACCCCTTCCTCTTCCCCCCTTTCCCAGTCACTCTCCAACGGCACTACACCCCCCCTCTCCAACGGCACTACACCCCCCCTGTCCAACGGCACTACACCCCCCCTCTCCAACGGCACTCACTCGGCTTCCCACGGCGCGGTCACACTTTTCATTTATCAAGGCAACATCCCCTCCCGTCCCCATACCCTCTCCCCCCACCCACCATCTTCCCTGGCCAACCCCACCAGCTCCGCCGCAGCGCCTGCTTCTCCTCAATAAAGCCTGCTCGTCTCTGGCAGCGCACTGCGCACCACCTTCCTCTCCCCTTCCTATGTCCATTTGCCCTTCACCCATCACCCTACCAGCTCCGCACCTCACCTGCTTCTCCTGCGCCTTCTGGTCTGGTCCCATGGATCCCCCAATCTTGCAGCATGGGCGGACTGTTCATGGGGGACCTGGGGGCTGCTGAGGCTGCGAGTCCCACAGTGGCGCACAGTGGCGCCCACAGTGGTGTCACGGGGAACCTGCGCATTGTGCACTCCTTGCCTGTGCGCCCCTGCAGGTTGCTGTTAGGGTGGTTCGCCACTGCCCTAGTGCCTACCGGCTTACGCGCCTAACCTAGGGACGGTAGAACAACACTAGGAACGGTGGGAAACTATCACCTAATATGGGGAACCGGTACCTAGAGCGGTGGGGCTGCATGCTAGGAAGCTAAGAAGGAAAACGTGAAGAAAGCGGGGAGAAACGGAATGACGGAAGACTAGGGTTCGAGAAATGTCGAGAAGAGATTTCCGAAGCCTAGAATGTCCAACCGAAACCGAACCGTGTTCGGTGCGGAAGGGACAAACGGGTTTCGGTTCCGGTGACGGTTACCGAATTCAGTTACGCGTGCGACTCGGGCTGAAACGCGGATGACGCGTTACGCGAGGCGCACATCACATTTCGAAATGCTTAAATGTGTTTGTTTTTTCAATCAGTTTTTTGTACTTCTCTGTTTTGAGTGAAATCAGTCCTGAAAAACCAGAAATTCTCTCCAAGCATTTACTACCTTCAACGCTAGCCGGAGGCTATACCCAAACTAAGAGCTGGTATCAGAGCTTGGTTATCGTCGCGACAAGCCTTATTATAAAAAGCGTTGGAGGAGTTATAATTTTTAGAGTAATTGGAGAGGACGGAAATTCAACGACATGGGGAATGGAGATGGAGAGGCCAGTTCAGGGTCTTCCGTGAACACTGGGAGTGCGCAGCTGCAGAGTCTGCTTGATGCCCTTGCTAAGGGGAAAATCGTGGCCAAACCGACAATTGGCCTAAGTGAAGCTCAACGCTTCAATGGAGAGAACTACGGCACATGGCGGCTGAAGTCCATGCGACGCGCCCGTGAGGTAGATTTGTGGCATTTCTACAACCCAGAGGCAGCGACGGAGGAAGATGGACCTGCACCTGCAACCGCACAAGAGAAAAAAGCGTTCAAGAAAAGAAGCCAACAAGCTTTCTTTCAACTCTGCCATTCGGTCTCGGATTCAATCGCAGCACGACTCGACCCGTTCTCTGAGGAGGACAACGCAGCAGCGAAGGCGTGGGCGTACATGGAACGAGTGTACCTCGGGAAAAGCGAGGCAAAGATGACAACAGTGAGGACGAAACTCATATTGCTGGCCATGGAACCTTCCGAGACGGTGGTGGACTACGTGGGCCGTGCTAAAGGCTACAACGACGACCTGACGGCTATGGGAGTGCCCGAATCGGAGAAGCAAATGATGAGCTACATCATTGGTGGCCTACCGAAATCATGGGCAGCAGAGAAGCGGATGCTGGCCTGCAGACGCCCGACGGACATGACGGACCTAGTGGAATCCCTTCAAGACGTGGCGCTTATACGTGCTGAGGAAGAGCGAAGGGAGGCGCTGCCGGACAACTTCAGCAATGACAAACCTGCTATATTGAACGCAACCGGGGCTGGAAAATCATTCGGAGCATGCTTCCACTGTGGGAAGAAAAGGCACAAGGCTGCAGACTGCTACTCCAACCCAAGAAGCAAGAATTTCAAAGGAAAGGCAACAGGGACAAGCGGAGAAGGACAGCGACTTCGAAGGAGTGGTACATGGACAGCGGTTGTACCCAACACATGACGAACCAGAAGGAGTGGCTGAAAATTTTCAGAGCATCACCGATACCGTATGTGCTGTTGGGAGACGAGGGGAAACTTCCTGTGAAAGGGGAAGGAGACCTAGTGCTGCAAAGAGCTTATGGTGAGGTGAAGCTGGACAACGTGCTGCTGGTGGACAAGCTCATGCTCAACCTCATTAGCAAATCGCAGCTGGATAGTGGTGGATGCAAAACTTTCAGCGACAAGGGGAGCATATGGGTCTTTGGAGCGGATTGGAAGGTGATAGCGGAGGGATCACGCAAGCAAGGGCTGTACGAGATGAAGCTGCACGAGAAACAGAGTGGGGACAAGGTCACGTACCTGGCTGAACCGGAAGCGGGTAAGGTGGCACGAGATGAGCTCCGCACCAAGTTCGAAAGGGTGCCGATCAAGGAGTTGCAGCAGCAGGCGCTTCTTATGGCAGCAGCAGTGAGCACGGTGGACGTCAACCTGCTGCATAGGAGGATGGGGCACGCTGGTCATTATCGAATCAAGGAGCTGATCAAGAAGAACATGGCAGCGGGAGTGAAGGTACCTGAGGGTGGAGAGGAAAATCTGAAGTGCAGCACATGCGTGGAGGCAAAGGCGACAAAGGCACCACATCCCAAGCATGGAGTCCGTGAGCCATACGAGACGATGGCCATTGTGGCAGCCGACGTATGTGGACCGATGCGGGTGGCTTCACGACATGGCAGCAAGTATTTCGTTACCTTCACCGACCTTGGCACACGACACACGTGGGTGACTGAGATCAAGAACAAGTCGGAAGTCCTCACGAGCTTTCTTGACTGGCAAGCGGAAGCGGAAAGGCAAAGCGGCAAGAAGCTGAAGGTGTTACGCACGGACAACGGGGGAGAATTCGTGAACGCCGAGTTCAACACGTACCTGAAATCAAAGGGCATTCGAAGGCAGCTCACGGTCCCCTACACTCCTCAACACAATAGCATTGCGGAGCGGGTGAACCGATCACTGCTGGAGGGCGTGAGGAGCTTGCTCGCGGATAGCAACCTGCCCCTTCACTACTGGGGAGATGCACTAGGCATGGCATGTTGGCTGAAAAACCGGCTACCGACAAAGGGACTAGCGGCGGACGTTACCCCTCACGAGGCGTTCTACAAGAGGAAGCCGAATCTGGAGTTCTTACGCGTTTGGGGCTGCATGACGCAATACCGAGAGGCGACGGGACCCGACCATAAGCTTCTCCCAAGGACCAAGTGGGGGATTCACTTGGGAATCTGCCCGGAGAGCAAAGGGTGGGTGATACGCGATGTGGAGACCGGAAAAGTCACGGCGACCAGAGATGTTACCTTCTACGAGCAAGACACCTACTTGGAGTGGAAGGGACGGAAACAAGGAGCTGTTGCAAAGGAAGCGGCAGGAGCACCAACTCCACTGGAGGAGATGATAGATGGGAGTGAGAAGGAGGGGATAGGGGCAGCCAATGGAAGCGGTGACAATGACGACTACGAAGACCACACTACGCCGGGTTTCGATTGGGTGTGGGAGGTCCAGGAGTTGTCCTCACCTTCAACTGCTGTGGAAGAGGGTGAAGAAGACAATGATAAGGGAGAAGAAGCGAGTGACAACTCAACGAATGAAGCCGGTGAGGAAGAAGCTGAAATTTCTGATGTGGAGGAGAGTGTGGCTGAATCTGCTAGCACGGGCTGCTCCGACCCATGGCGAATCATTGACACGGGGGACAATGAAAAGGTGGCAGCAGAGATTGAAGACCTACTTTCGGACGGTGCGATCGTCATTGGAAGGGAGATTGAAGGAGATTCCGTGCAACAAGGAGCGGATGATAATGCAGCAGCAGAGAAAAGTGGAGCTGAAAATGAGAATCAGGAGATGGGGAAAGGGAAACGAGTCAAGAAACCCAATCCTAAGTATGCCCAAATGCTTCTGACCTGCTGCAAGGACATTCACACCCACCTCCTCCTTACCACCACGGCAACGGCATTACTATCAAAGGGGAAGGTGGAAAGCTACAAGCTGCCCACCGAGCCTCTTACCATTGAAGAGGCGCTGACCGGGCCAAACAAGGAGCAGTGGAGGGCTGCAATCCAGGAGGAACTTGATACCTTGGCTGAAAGGGGGACATGGGAGCTTGTGAACATGCCGGAAGGGAGGAAAGCAGTGGGAGTGCGCTGGATTTTCAAGATAAAAACGGGAGACATGGGGCAACTTGAACGCTTCAAGGCACGTCTTGTGGCTAAAGGCTACACTCAAGTGGAAGGAGAGGATTACGACCAACTCTACGCACCCGTTAGCAAGTTAACAACGGCAAGGACCATGCTTAAGGTGGTGACGGCACGCGGGTACTTCATGGTGCAGCTGGACATAAAAAATGCCTTTCTCTATGGCATTTTGAAGGAGACTATCTACATAAATCAGCCACCGGGGTGTGAGGACGGCACGGACAGAAAGTGCAAACTCATCAAAGCACTTTATGGGTTGAAACAAAGCCCATGGGAGTGGTACCTAGCTATGGATGCGCAGCTGGAAAAAGGAGGGTTCATCAAGAGTCAATGTGACCGTGCATTCTACTGGAAGGGAGAGGGGGAGAACAAGGTGTTCCTACTCCTCTACGTGGATGATATCCTAGTGGCTGGAGCAAAGGAAGAGAAGGTGGAGGAGGTGTGCACTCACCTCGCAGCTGTATTTCAGGTGAAGAAGATTCCAAGGACCACTCTCTTCCTTGGAATGAACCTAGAGAGGAACAAGGAGCAGAAGAAGTTGCTGCTATACCAGAAGAAGTACTTTCAAAGGTTGCGGGAGAGGTTTGGAGGGCAATGCAAGACCAAACCAGTGACAACACCTCTCAGCAGCCTTGCGGATAAGGAGGTCGATGTGGGAGCAGAAATTGAGGCATGGGGTAGCAAGGAGAAAGCGCTCAAAGCTTACCAATCCATGGTAGGCTCAGTCATGTACCCGGTGTCATGCACACGGGTTGATGTGGCCTACGCTGCAAGTTTTCTTGGGCAGAGGGTGTTGCAGCCAGAGGGACGCAAGTGGAAGGAGATGGAGCGGACTATCACTTACCTTCTGCAGCGGGATGATGAGGGGCTGTTGTTTGAAGGAGGAGAGGAGAGTCTAGAGCTAGTGGGGTACGCTGACGCCTCACATGGATCAGACAAGAAGGATGGGAGGGGAGCCTATGGCTATGTCTACCTCCTTGGTGGAACGGCAATCATGTGGCAAGCCAAGAAACTCACCGACGTCGCTCTGTCCACCGCAGAATCCGAATACATGGCGCTGTTTTATGCATGCCAAGAGGGTGTGTGGCTGAGGCGCCTACTTCAAGAGATGTGGGTCAAAGTTGAAGGACCCACAACGATCAAATCGGACAGCAAATCAGCGATTGACCTCGCACGAAACGACAACTGGCATGGGCGCACCAAACACATGAACGTGAGGTACCATTGGGTACGGGAGCAGCTACAGAAGAAGGTATTCACCTTCGTGCACGTGGGAACACAGGAGCAGCCAGCGGATTTCCTGACTAAGGTACTACCAAAAGCGAACTTCGAGTATTGCAAGCATTTTGTCGGCATACGTACCTTGCATGACTTGCAGGGGAGCAGCAGAGCAGCAAACCGAGATGCTACACCATCCTACGGACGGGATCAGCAAGGGAAGAAGAAGGCTGGTTACATGGTAACCACGGGAGCATAGGAGGATGGCAGCTGGCAAACCACAGGGGAGATTTTTAGGGTGGTTCGCCACTGCCCTAGTGCCTACCGGCTTACGCGCCTAACCTAGGGACGATAGAACAACACTAGGAACGGTGGGAAACTATCACCTAATATGGGGAACCGGTACCTAGAGCGGTGGGGCTGCATGCTAGGAAGCTAGGAAGGAAAACGTGAAGAAAGCGGGGAGAAACGGAATGACGGAAGACTAGGGTTCAAGAAATGTCGAGAAGAGATTTCCGAAGCCTAGAATGTCCAACCGAAACCGAACCGTGTTCGGTGCGGAAGGGACAAACGGGTTTCGGTTCTGGTGACGGTTACCGAATTCAGTTACGCGTGCGACTCGGGCTGAAACGCGGATGACGCGTTACGCGAGGCGCACATCACATTTCGAAATGCTTAAATGCGTTTGTTTTTTCAATCAGTTTTTTGTACTTCTCTGTTTTGAGTGAAATCAGTCCTGAAAAACCAGAAATTCTCTCCAAGCATTTACTACCTTCAACGCTAGCCGGAGGCTATACCCAAACTAAGAGTTGCAACACGGGCGCACTCATCACGGACTGCTCAGTGCACTCCTTTCCAAGGCTGTTGCCCACCTTCCCTTCAACGCCCATTAGTCTCCTTTCCCCCTTCCACCCCTCAGCTCCGCACCTGCCTCTCCTACACAGACGTCTGGCGGACCAACTCCCAGCCGTACGGCACAGGCGCACTGTTCACCCAGAGGGAGGATGTGTGCTCTCTGAGTGAGTGAGCGGTGATGGGCTGGGCTGTTGAAACCTTGTGAGTCACTGGTAGATCACTGGTGACGTGATGCTGGGCGGGGCTGCTGGGTGGGTTCCCCGTGGCAGTGCTTTTCCTCACGGAGGAGCAGAGGGAGAAGGAGATTCGTTCTGTGCTGTGAGGAAGGAGGTGGGCTGTAATGGCTCATTGGTGGGTGAAGAAGGCGTATGGGGCGAGTAAGGAGGTGGATTGTGATGTGATGTGTCATTGCTGCTGCTCACTGCTACGAGACACTGATGGGTGGAGAAGGTGCGTGTGGGGTGCGTGTGACCAATCATGGTTCACCAGCAGGTCACTCGCAGATTTTTCCCAGGTTTCACTCAGGTTTCTCTCTGCTCAGGTCAGTCTCGGGTGTTGACCCGCAAGAAGCTGATTGCCCTGCTGCTGAATGCTCTGAGGCGGTGGTAGTTATCTGAGGTGGCAAATCCGGACCAACAGGGGCGGTTGACAGTCTGGATATTGCCAGGGTGAGAGTGAATGAAGCGTGTAGGAATCACTCGAGAGTCTCGAGCCACTCGCGGGTGACTGTGGGCAGCAGGCAGGCAGTTGAATAGCTGGCTGTCGCCAAGGTGGTAGTCCCTGAGAGTCAGTGAGTAGCCAGTGAGGAGTTGGGGCGACTGGCTGTGGGGTGGTTGTGAGAGTGAGTGGAACTTATAGGCAGGCCAGGTGTGCTGAGAAGGTGGTTGAAGGCGAGGTGAGACCCATTCCCCTTTCTACCCTCAAATATCTCTGCTTTTCTTCTATCCACACTCTGATTCCCTCTTTCCACTCAGCCCCAATTGCATCAACCCCCTCATTCCATCCATTCGGCCTCGCATGTGTATGCCACATACACGGACTTGTGAACTCCTGACATCGCCCACCACTGCACAAACACATCACTTACGGAGGCACTACCTCTCTTCCTCTCCCCTTTCCCATTCCCCTGAACCACTTTCCTTCGTTCTCTCTTCCCCTCCCAGCTCCGCCCCTGCTTCGCCCACATCCTTCCTTCCTGCATCCGTGTCACTAACGCACTGAAAGCGTCCTTTCTCCACCCTCACCCCTCAGCTTCGCACCTGCTTCTGTTATACCCACTTGTGACCCACGCGTTCACGCCCCTATAGCACTATCTCTCCCCCACTTCCCTCTTATGAGCCATTGCCACTTTCCCTCATTTCCCTCCCTTCCCACTCCCACCCAGCCAGCTCTGCACCGCACCTGCGTCTCCCACAACCACAAGTCCGCAGCCACCTCTGCCCCACTGCACGGGTATCCCCCACCCCCCCTCCCCCCACACAGCGCAGCCACACTGCTTACCCAGTGCAGGCCGAGGCACCGTTTGCTCCCTTCCCCATACCCTCCCCCTCCCCACCACCGTCTTCCCCACCCCTCCCAGCACCCGCTTCTCCCACGCCAACGTCTGCCCCACGGATTCCTGCCGGTAGGGTGGAGCCGCACTGCTCTCACCCACGCGCTGTACCCATACCCTCTCCCTTCTCCCCCACCTTCTCCAGCCACCCCCCCAGTGCTGCACCTGCTGCTCCTATTCTGACGTCTGGCCGGCGGTTTTGCGGCCTTACGGTGTGGCCGCACAGCTCTCACCTCACCCTCGCACTGTACCTTTCCCCCCCCTTCCCACCTCCTCCAACCCTTCCCCTGTCTTTCTTCCCACCAGCACTCCGCACTGCACCTGCTACTCCAGCACTGGTTCCTAGCCCGAATTTCTCGCCCCTGTTCAGCCAAGCAGGCAGAGGCTGCTGCCGTGGAGGAGGTGGGCGAGAGGCGTTGGCGGTGCAAGCGGCGTTGGCGTCAGCAGCAGTGGCGGGGAGCATGGGGAGGAGGGCGAAAGGGGGGCTAAGGGGCGATGAAAGGGGGCTGCTGATGGGCTGGCAAGCAGTTGACAAGCTCGAAACGCCAAGGCCAGACTCCCTGAGGGGTGGAGGTGCGTGCGAGGTACACTTGGGAGAAAGGGGGGGAGGAAGGGGTGGTGAAGAAAGGGAGGTAGAAGAAAGGGAAGGGGGATTGAAGGAAAGGCGGGAGAAGGAAGTGGGGAGAGGGGGGGTGAAATTCATGCGTGTGAGAGGCTCTGAGCAGTCGCTGTGGGGAGGGGATGATGTATGTTCGAGTCACTCCAAGGAGTGGGAGGGGCTGCCGAAGGCAGGGCTGCTGATGCGGATGGCGGGGGCTATCGAGGATGCCTTGTATCTCCGCAGGAAGTTTTAGAGGATTGTCCACAGCACCCTTCAACTCTCCCTTCCCACCCACCCATGCACGATTCCCCTTTCCCAACCCTCACCTCATCTCTGACCCATCCAGCTCTGCTCCGCTCCTGCTTGCTGTTCCCATGCCCTCTCGCACCCACTCGCACAGCCACACTGCTTGTCCAGGCACCACCTCAGGACTGTCTTAAACCTATCCCTTCTTGTTACCTTCACGCACTCCCCTTTTGCTTGTCCCTTCCCCATCCGTTTCCCCTTCTCCTTTCTGCTTCTCATTCCGCCCCCAGCCCCTTACGCTACCCCTCCCAACCCCTCTCACACCCCTCCCCTGATCCCAGTTGTCTACCGCGACTCCAGGCTCAGTGCCCCGTCTTGCGACTCGACCTCGTCGAATCTACGTGGGCCTATTAAAATGGCTGGGCCTGCGATGTGCGTGCGCAGGCACCACAGGGGTCAAGCCGGACAAGCCTCGACTCGCCTTGCCTCGACTCGCCTTGCCTCGCCTCGCTGGAGTGATGCCTCGCACCCACCGCTGCACCACTGCCAGCGGCGCCGCTGCCGGAAGTGTAATGATTGCCCCCAGCTGTGCGCCTGCGTCTCCTGCACCCTCACTTGTCGTCCGCCTGCCCAAACCCTCATGCTATCCTTCCCACCATGGCACCACTCCCTTCCCTCCTTCCCTGCTCTCTCCCTCTCCGATCCCCTCACCCCCCTCTCCCCCTCTCAACTCCCTACCTCCCTCACCCCTCCCCCGCTCACTCCCTCCTAGCTGGCTTTCATTTCATTCTCTCATGAGGATTATCATATGTGATACAACCATCACGCTGATCATTTTCCCTCCTTTCCCCGCCCTCCCATGCTTTCCAGCTCCGCACCTGCTTCTACACCCACTCCCGCCCCACGGATTCCCGCCATTGGGGCACGAGCACACTGTTCACGGGCAACCAGTGGCCTTGTGGGCTGCTGAGTGCACTCTGTGCCAAGATAATTTCTCTTTACCACACCTTACTGCTGATGTTCACTGGTACTCTTCATTGCTGGCTGGGTGAAGAAGGTGAGTCGGTGGTGCAAGGGGCTAATCGTGGATCACCAGTGGGTCACTACTGGGTCAGTGGCAGGTCACTCTCGGATCAGTATTGTCCCCCCATCCCCATCCCCTACCACTTTCCCATCCCCGTCCCTTTCTCCACTCCCATCCACTTCTCCATCCGCTCCCCCATCCCCTTCTTCTCCATCAACGCCCCCCTCCCCATCCCCAACCCCATTGCCATCCCCCACTTCCGCAGGTGTGCTTAGTGCAGCCAGCAGTAGCTCCAACCCGCCTTGCTCTCTCCCTCTCTCTCCCTCCGGCAGGGAATGGATGCTACAGTTGTGCATAGTCCAGCCAGTAGCATCCGTTCCCTGTCGCCTCTACACTCGCACACCCATCAGCGATCACTCATCTCTACCGAATCAGGTCGGTGCTCTCATTTGCCTCCTGTGGCGCCACCATTGCCCTTTGCACCCCATTGTCTCTTGTCTCAACCATTTAATGTGGAGGAGACAGTCCCATGATTGCATCATCCCATCACATCACACTAATACCCCACAATCCCAGCACACTACCCAAATACTCCAGAACCCCATCTCGTCCACTACATCACCCGATTGAGCCATCGCCGCAAATCAGTTTCACATCCGCCTAGTGCTAGTGGTCTAGTGGTAGAATAGCACCCTGCCATCAGCGCGGTGCAGACCCGGGTTCGATTCCCGGCTGGCACATTACCGATTTCTTGCTTTTGCCGCGAACTGGACTATCCCATTGGACGCCCAACAAAGCCTATGCCATCAACCGCTTGATAGCAGCCCCCCCGTGCATTGGCTTCGGCCCTCACTACCATGGCTGGTGTTAAATAGCTTTGGCATGTCACTGCCTGCCCTGCCCCTGCATGTGCCCTCCTCCCGTGGTTGCATAAGGCACAAGCTACGAGCCAGGAGCTAGGTAGGAGAAAGGAGACTCGTATTCGTGCGTCTTCATGTTCCTCCCTTTTGAAGGGCCTCAACAATTGAACCAAAGAGCCAGGAGACCCGCACTTGTGCACTTTCATGTTCCTTGCTTTCTCCACCTACTCCCAACCCCACTGCCCAACCCTCCCCACCTCTTTCACCGCAGCCTACAGCTCCTTTCTACCGCCGTTGCCCATACTCGTTCCGCCCTCCCTCCCCTGCATCAACCCACCCCTCCCACCAACCCACACCTTTCCAGCTCTCCCGCCCACCATGGCAGGGCGCCACAGCATGAGCCTCTCCCCTGTCATCGCTTTCCCCCTGTCATTGCTCTCCTCGTTGTTTCTTCCTCCTTCCCTACCCACCATACCACCATCCAAAGCCCCACACCTTCCCACCTCTTCCAGTGAATCATGGCACGCGATGGTGTGCTGTGCACTGCAGCTCTCTCCACCCTCCCTAGGATGGCATGTTCGTTGCCAAGAAATACGTGGCAGCGCATAGGGCGACACCCATCCCCCGCATCCCAATATTCCTTGTCATCAAAATCCCTTGACACCTTTTCTTGTCAAAAGCTTCCTTACTGGAATCATTTTTGCGACTTAGCAGCATACCCAAGCTCCCCACCCGCCGCTACCCTACTCTCCACGTTGCTCCAACAGCCCATATTCTGCAACCACAGGGCCAAGTTCACTTGTCACATCACACCGCCTCTTTCTCGGCCACAGCATAAGATAGCTTCTCCCTTCGCAACGGCAAGGAGCTCCCGTCTCTCGACGAGATCTCGCCACTTGGCAGACGCCGATACGTGCTCGAGTCGAGTGGATCCTGCTGAGCTGAGCAGTAGTCTACTGCTGCGCAAGAGTGTCTCTCAAGAGTGGCGGCCGGCACGTTCCCTTCATTCTTGCTCGAGTCGAGTGGATCCTGCTGAGCTGAGCAGTAGTCTACTGCTGCGCAAGAGTGTCTCTCAAGAGTGGCGGCCGGCACGTTCCCTTCGTTCCTCCCTTTTGAAGGGCCTCAACAATTGAACCAAAGAGCCAGGAGACCCGCACTTGTGCACTTTCATGTTCCTTGCTTTCTCCACCTACTCCCAACCCCACTGCCCAACCCTCCCCACCTCTTTCACCGCAGCCTACAGCTCCTTTCTACCGCCGTTGCCCATACTCGTTCCGCCCTCCCTCCCCTGCATCAACCCACCCCTCCCACCAACCCACACCTTTCCAGCTCTCCCGCCCACCATGGCAGGGCGCCACAGCATGAGCCTCTCCCCTGTCATCGCTTTCCCCCTGTCATTGCTCTCCTCGTTGTTTCTTCCTCCTTCCCTACCCACCATACCACCATCCAAAGCCCCACACCTTCCCACCTCTTCCAGTGAATCATGGCACGCGATGGTGTGCTGTGCACTGCAGCTCTCTCCACCCTCCCTAGGATGGCATGTTCGTTGCCAAGAAATACGTGGCAGCGCATAGGGCGACACCCATCCCCCGCATCCCAATATTCCTTGTCATCAAAATCCCTTGACACCTTTTCTTGTCAAAAGCTTCCTTACTGGAATCATTTTTGCGACTTAGCAGCATACCCAAGCTCCCCACCCGCCGCTACCCTACTCTCCACGTTGCTCCAACAGCCCATATTCTGCAACCACAGGGCCAAGTTCACTTGTCACATCACACCGCCTCTTTCTCGGCCACAGCATAAGATAGCTTCTCCCTTCGCAACGGCAAGGAGCTCCCGTCTCTCGACGAGATCTCGCCACTTGGCAGACGCCGATACGTGCTCGAGTCGAGTGGATCCTGCTGAGCTGAGCAGTAGTCTACTGCTGCGCAAGAGTGTCTCTCAAGAGTGGCGGCCGGCACGTTCCCTTCATTCTTGCCCATGGATGCTACCGCATGTCACCATTTCTCATGACACATTTCCTTTCAAGTAGCACCTGCTGGTTGTCAGTTCCACTACGAACTCAATGTGTGTCTTGGTTCCGTCTCCTGTCCCAAGGAGCTATGTTTGGCCCACATGTCCCACCGGCACAGCACCAACTTTTGCGCCAAGCATATATAAATATTTCAAAACGGTACTTGCATGCATGTTCATTAGCCTCCAGTGTCGATGGATATGGGTAAAAAGGCACAATCACACCACAGCATGGTATAAGCAGAGCTTCCATCCAGCCGTAGTCCATCTCTGCTGCGCTACACGAGACCTTGCATAGCACTGTTCCAGAACAAGGTATTCTGTAGCCCGACTATGCTCTACATATCACACGCACATTTTATAGCACGGTTCTATCTGACACAGAAAGAATTTCCTACGCTTTGTTCGGCAGAGACCAGGAGACCTGCCAAAGAAATAAATAACTTCATCAAACACACTTTACAACACAAATGTATATCACTTCACTGTAGAACTGCAATGACCTATACGAGCATTGCACAAGCATGCTGCAGCCATTATACACATTCCTCAGCTCGAACTTATCCACAGTACAGGGAGCAGCACAGGAGTTGGCCTGACAACGCAGAGGCCTGCCTAGGTGGGTTGAAAAGGGCATGGGTCGGATGAAAGGGCACGGGTGGGATGAAAAAGGCATAGGTGGGATGAAAATAGAATGGGTGGGATGAAAAATAAATGGGTGGGATGAAAAAGAAACGGGAGGCATGGGTGGTACGAAAACGCATGGTTGGGATGAGACGGCACGGGTGGGGTGTAAAGGCATTGGTGGGATGCAAAGGCATGGGTGGGATGGAAAATGCAGAAGCACCAGGAAGGAGTAGACGAAACAATGGGAGTTGGAGGCATTGTGGAGGAGAGGCTTAAAGCTGACGGTGAACGGCAAAACCAGGAGTGACAAGAGTGGGACCATGAATGCTTTGGTGGAAATGATAGGAATGGGGGGGTACGAGTGGAGTGGGTGGTATGACAGGAGTGGCGGGTATGAGGGGATTAGGGCGTGTGAGGGGAATGGGGGTTGTGAGGGGAGTGGTGGGCATTTATAGAATGGGGGATATGAGAGGATTGGGGGTT